TTGCCTGAGGGGGTTCACTGCCTCAAAGAAGACAGGGAGACTGAAGGTGGTTGTAACAGACATTGCATGGAACAAGCCCTGGATATCAGACTCAATCTTCACAAACTGCCTCAAATGAATTTCAATTGTACCTCTGAAAACTTCAAAACTGAGAATTTCTGTGGTCTTTTGAAAATTAAAGTCTCTCTAGTGGAAGATGTCCCAGCCCATGGCAGGGGTTTCAAAGCAGATGATCTTTAAAGTGTCTTCTAACCCAAACCATGCATGGTTCTATGGAATGGCAACATGCTAATTTCTAAGTTCAGGAAATTTGTGTCCAATACCTAATGGAGAGTTCATTGTGCTCAGAATGAGAGTAAACCACCCAAGGTACCTCAGCCTTGACTTCCCTTTTGCTGAGCTAAGTTGTGATGGCAAATCTCCAGATTCTTCCTCATGGCTCAATAAGAAATGAACCAGAACACACACATTTTTAACACATAATACTACATGTTTGTATGGCCCATATCCACCACAGCTATGAAATGCTTTGCAATAATTCCATTTAGAAGAAGAGAAAAATGTAGTGGACTAAGAGGCACCCCTTTGCACCATGCACAGTTTTCATAAAATAAAATGTGCACTGTGCAAAGACTGGACTGGAAATAAAAAGGTTGATCATAAGCATCTTCATCTTACTGGGAAGAGCCTTGGAAGAGTGGGCTCACTTCCCACTGCAATGCTTTTCCACGCACAGTGGAGAGGCAGCTGCAGAACTTCTTCTGACGTTGCAGCTGGATCCAGTCCTGTCCCAGCCCTGATTTCCATCCCCACCTTTACAGCCAACGGTACCATTCATTTTGTACTGATATATTTGAAAGTAGTGCAGAAGCTGAAACAGCTGCATTTCAGTAAACTAACCTTTCATACACGGCAACAAGGAGCCCTGATGAGGTGAAATCACCTCACTGACAGTACTGAACAGACTTTAAACAGAGAAGTGGCCATGAAAGGGTTGGGGGATGTGAACCTTTAGAGTTATTTCTGCAGAGCAATACACCTCCATGGTGCCTGCTTGTGGCTTTAGACAACTGGAATTTTTAAATATAAACATTATTTCAGAAGTTGTCTGGTTTGAACAAAGCTTGAATAGTGCAGTGACTGTCTATGCTAAGCGTAGCTCACTACTTTTCATCTGTAAACCAACACCAGACACTAAGATGGCAGTTTGGGTGCCAGATAATTCCAGAAAACCTTTTCTTTTCATGTGCAGTAGCAATTACTGAAGCATCTACTCTTATCCTCAGAAATCTAACACAAGTACTTTAAGCTCAGGAATAATCTAGTAAAACAACAGGAAAACTGCTTAAGCTCTGTTTTGTCCAAAGTTTGGAAGTTCAAGTTTCAGTGACTCCAATTCACCAAACTTTTTAAAGAACTGTATTTCTCTGATGCTTAACTCTTCAAAAGGCTGTCATGTTCCATAGCCTGTGAGTTAAATAACATGATCTGGCATTTCCTAGGAGTAGCAACAGTACCCATATATAACCTAGAAATTTGGCTACTGATATGGACCTAGAAGGACAAAGCAAAGCATGTATTTATATCAAGACAGAGAAATATATAATCTTACAAGAACACATTTTAAAACCTTGAGCTAAAAAGACAAAAAGGAAGACCTGAATTTGCATAAGACCCTGCTATGCATGTATATAGCACAATGTGTAGCTGGTGATGTGTTTGTTTATTCTCCTGGTTGATCATGAGCTGATGACTGAATTCCAATGACTTAAAAATGATAATAGCAGATTTTTGTTAGCTTATTGTTGCAGTTAGTGAATTCAATTTAAATTCTTTCACTTTCACCATCAAATAAAACATGAATAATAACATTTTCTACGTTTCATATCCATTCTCCCACTTTCTGCATTTCTTTCTGTATTTCTTTTCCTCAACACATTTAGTGACAAAGAGGTTGTGAGCTCCCAAAAGGACTAGAAATATTTCCTACTGCTCCATTCTTCCCTGGAGACTCATATTTTGCCTTTAGTGTTGTGGACTCTCTGATGACATCCCAAACAGAGACGCAGGGTGTGCGATAAAAAAGCAACAGACAATACTGAAAAAAAGAATCCAGGAAATTAATGGTAAATATTCCAGGAGGTGTCAGAGAGACAGATAGAAAAAAAGAAAGAAAAAATTAATACAAATCTGAAATACCAGAGTAAGCAGAGATAGAAGATCATGTCAGAGAGCTACACAATTTCTCTGAACAAGGAAATCTTGATTTCCTTCCTGTGTTGTTTACAACTACTGAAGTGAGACTTTTAATTGCTTTTAGCCACCTACTTATGGTCCTACATTCAACCCTTTAACTCTATACTACATTTTGTCTCACTTAACTGAATATAGCTTCTTTCACATATCTCAGTGCTATGTTTTTTCAGTAGGGGTTGGATGGGGAAATCACAGACTGTAAGATAAAGAAGAAATCCCTGCATCCAACAAACCCCACATCCATTGGCACAACTGTAGCTTTACTTTTTCTCATCCTGTTTTGTTGGCTTTTCTATGAGCAAGTAATGACAGTGATTTTCAACTATTACAACTTATCTGGATCTTAATTTATTTCCTTGGGTTGCCTAGAATATAGTGATTTCCTTCAATTAAGCTTTCTGGTTAAAAAATAACCATGCTTGCCATACTCAGTGAGGGACAGCAAAATCACTACATCCCAAAGAAAGGAAAACAGCAAACTTGAATCATAAACTTGGCATTACAGCTAGAGATTTACAACAACATATGGTCATTTGCCTCTAGCTCTCTTGCACATGCTGACTAAAATAATCCATTGAAACAGAAAAGTCTTGAATTTTAAGAATAGAAACCAAATGCTAGATTCTAGCTTTTTACATGGGCCTTGCCTGTAAAGAGTATCCATAATGAGAAATTTTCATCTCTTAAAACAAGTACATTTCTGAGCCCACATTTATTTTTCCTGAGTGCCTAACATAGACACAAACTACCTTTGTAATTAGTGCATGTGAATTGAACTGACAATGACAGGCACAAGGCTGCAGGTGCTACTGCACTACAAACACGTTATGATAATATGTGAGCTACAGAGCCTCTCAAACAGGCTGCTCAGACATGGACACAGCCAACCGTGTGGGTTTGAGAGAAAAAAGTAAACACTAACAAAAGTGACTGAGGCTTTTGCGGCTTTCTGCTTCAGAGGTTTGGGGCTTTTCTTGGAATGACTGTGGAATAAAAGAACAGGTTTTGCATTTGTGGTTTGGGAAGTGCCATTTAGATAAGCAGCTAAGACATCAAAGGCTCCTGCAGTGAAGCACCAGGGCATAGCAGCTTAGTGAGACAGATCACAGCCAGAATTCATGAACTAGCAGAAAACTGGGCTCATCAGTGCACACGGAGCAATACTGTGCAGAAGAGCTAGGCTAGTCCAGATGCAGCACAGATATCTCAGCTTGGCTCAGAGTGCAAGTTAATAAGCCTCTGTTCTCAGCGGAGCTTCCCAGGTCAATGCTCATATAGGAGGGATCAAGCTTTGTTGCTGTTCAAACTTCAGTAAGGTGTTCAGGATCCTGGTGTTAGCCCTTTATGTGTACACCTCAATTAACCTGCAGTTGCTGGCTTGGCCTTCTCACACCATTACTCCCTACATTTTGGGTTCCTGGCTTATCTCAAGAAAGGAAGCTTGGATCTATCCATCCATCCTTGCACACACAACTGTAGCTTTCCATAAAATGCAAATGCAGGGAGCTGACCAAAGCTCTTGACAACGAAGTCACTCTGGTCTGGAAAAAACCTGCTTGAGGTCAGAGAAGATTAGAGATGCCTTGAAAACTTCAACACTTCTAATCTGACCTTGCCCAAGAGCAACATCACTGGTAAGAGTGATGCATCTCCTTTCAGTCATTGCTCTTTCTGACAGCAGTACCAATTAGTGCTCCATGTGGTTGTTGCCCATTAGAACAAGACCCTTCATGCTAACATTAAAGTTTTCCCTTCCTTCTCTGCTACCTTACTCCTTCATGCTGAGAGCATAATGACAAAATGTAGAATTTAGCCTTAATTGGATCTCTGCAATGTTATCACCTGAATTAGCTCCCCTGTGAATAATTATCACTGCCTAGAGGCTGACAAATTGCTTCCCTCTACTTCATGATTGTCAGGAATTTCAAATTATATGCTGAGCATGGGGAGCATAGAGGGGACAAAGGGGAGAATGAAAATGAAACCTAGAGAAGCATAATTATTAAGATTATTAAAATACTTGACAGTGCCATAGTCTCCATGAGTCCCAAAAGGGGAGAGTGACAGCAAGAATTTTGCTGGGGCAATTGGGCAATACCCACTCTGGCAACAGACGCATACAGTCAAAGTGAAACTACAACCACTGCTCCCAACATGTGCCAGAGGTAATTCCTTTGTTATTCACCACCCCATTTAAGGTATGGATAGCAGCTTGTTTACCATCTCATCTGCACATGTGGTCTTGCTACATATATGGCAAATTTTTTGCAGCAGAGGCTGATAAAAGGGTAAACGTATGTGAGGGCATAGTAGCAGACTGCCATGCATTTAGAATAGCATATAGGAGTTTGTGTTTTGCAAGGAAAAGGTTTTGGCACAAAGCTGCTCTTCCTGAGAACACTCCTTCCATGTCTGGGCAGGACCACACACAGAAACACAATGTGTCGTTACTCCACGGTATCCATCTCAGATATTGACAGAGCTAAGAAATGTTCATTTCATAAACCCAAATCACTATAAAAGTGTAATGCTCTTTGCGCATTACTTGAAATGGTCAAATAAGGCAAATAGGGCTTTTATCCGATTTCCTAATTAATGAGGCTGTGCTTGTAGGATGGATGCATTTCTCAGCTCATTTCAAGGCAGTTCCTCAGACTTCTTTCCCACCATGCCAAACCAACACAAGTCAGACACAGGCAAGGTAGCTGCTGACATATTCCCAGGAGAAGGCTCTTCCTGCTTACCTGACATACAGTGACCTCTTCTGATTAGTCCTCAGGGAGCCAGACCCAGAACTCATGCTGTGATTCATCATCTGCTCACGCAGGTCATGGATTTTTGCCTCAAATCGAGCGTACTCTAAGGAGATAAGAAAACCCCAGAGAACAAAGATATTTTAGTTTTCTTGACCTATATAATCATTAGGGCTGCTAAATGCAAATTAACATTAAATTAATGAGTGTAAGGCACATCTTGAAAATGGAGGTCTAAGAGAACCTTGAATTAATGTATTATCTTAGGTAAATATATGCCCTTTTTATTGTGGTACCTGAATATTTCAACACTGGCTAGGTGAGGAATCAGATATCTAGACCCACAGTTCTGCATTTTCAGGAAAGGAAAGGAGGTTTAAAATGTGTTAACAATTATCTTCCAGTCTGTGGAAAGGATGTTGAAAATAATTTTCCACTGTATCTTTCCTCCTTCCAAACAATGGTAGGGTCCTTGGTGGGACTGAGGTTATTAATGAGTGAAGCAATTATTGTAAAATCCTGTCAAAATGAAGGAGATATTTCTATGCCAAATTATCCCCAAAGCAGCTGGAAAATCACTGTATGAGCAACCAGCTGCCTTTTTTACACTGCTCAATGAGGCTTGGGATCTGTTTCTTTTAAATAGGTGGAGCCATTATCTCGTTCGTAGGCTGGGTGATCCCAGAAACTCCAAACCTAAGCTGCACAACAATGGCACAGAACTGCTCCCCCCACCTCCTTCACCTCCATAGTTCTATTGGTGTCTCTGCAAAATGTTGTGACCTGCTGCCCAGCAGCATGGAGCCGTATCATTTGGTGAGACTCCTGTCTGACAGGACACAGCCTCATCAGTGGTCCCTCAGCTGCCATGCTCCCCTTGCTCATCGTGTGACTCAGCTGGCTGAGCTTTGGTTTGCAAGAAGAAAGGTTGGGGTTTTGGAGACAAGCTCTAATTCATTGAAAATGAGAACCTCCAGCCCAGAGAGCCATAATTCAACCTAAACCCAGGAAATCTACTGATGTGAGCTATAAGACTAAGCTGAGGGGGTGTACAAAATACATTTCAGTGAGTCAGTGACACTTTAAAGAGTAAGATATTGCAGACTGATGCCAGCAAAGAGAAGATGATGTTCCCTGCACCTCAACGTTTTATTTCACTGATGCCTTCAAAAGAAGGGTCCCTTTCCCCACAGCAGGCTAAAGCAGAAGTGAAACCAGCACACAGGGTTTCCTCCTCAAAGAATGGAGGTACATTCCACCAGATCCCACCACCTCCCAGCATAAGCAAATAAATCTTTACAGTGCATTTATAACCCATTGCTCTGCATCTTGTTTGTTGCTGTCTGAGCTATGTGAAAATGCTGTAAGACAGCAACATTCACATTTTTCTCCTAGAACTCAGCATTATTTTTGTTTGATCATTTGCTGTTCTTACTGGCTCAGTTCCCAGAATGTCTAGATGCTTTGCAACAACTAATTCATTTTATTCCATGCACTCTACATTTTCATTGGATAATAACACCTGACCTTTCCAAGATCCCACATTTTGCACAGACAATAGCCATCTTCAAGCTGGCTTAGCAGAATGGTTTGATTTGGGGTTTTGTGTTTGGGGTTTTTCCCCTCCTCTCTTGACATATTTTGCCTCCCTTTCCACTGAGCTTCCTTGGCATTACCTACTCAGTCTGTTAAGTGACAGTGGCTACTTTGCTCGTCAGTTGGGAACCACTGCTGTGGTATAAGACTCTTCAGTCTTCCCACATACCTATGACTTCACTGACTGCAACTGAAATTCTGTGTGTCGGGAGAAGAGAAACTCCTACATGCAGACTGCATTTTAGATTTATTCTGTAGCTCGTTTCTTGTTAATTTCTTTCATCTACAGTACATCTTTAAACTTCTTAGAGATTTGAAAGCACAATTTCTCAGTGGAACTGAGGCTCCTATAAACTCATTTTGGTTTTTTTTTTTAATGGAGTTTAGTTTTGAAGTGTTTATCCCAGTGTAGGATTTAAGTTTGCTCTATGTGAGTCATATTTGTTCTAATCTCCTACTTTAGAATTTATTTAGTAAATACTCATCTTCTGAGCAAAGCTTTGTTTAGCTTATATTTCATTAAAACAAATCTAACATTTCTTCTTGGCAAATAGGAAAGGGGATCTTGAAGACCAAGACTTGCATATCTCTTCCTCATACAGTATCAGTCCTACACAAATAGACAGAATATTACAATCTAAGGCCAGTTATTAGCTCTCTTTCCTTTATGGTTGAAACACTGAAGAAGACAGTAAACATACAGTGTAATTCAGCCTCTATAATGTTTTACATCTGGGCAGCACCAAGGATATGAATGATCTACAGCAGAGCAACTTTCCCTTTAATAAGCATCCCCATGGCAGGCTGACTATGTAAGGTGTGGGAGTAACTCCCAGATTTAGACACCAATCTGGAGAGTGAGAAGAGAGGACTGAAAATCTGATTTTCTCTAGCACAGCACCCAGCTACTTGCAACTTGAGCATCAGATACTCAAATGACTACAGCTTGGTCAGATGATGATATTGCTTGTGTTCTGACTTTAGAGCACACTTGTAATTTTTCCAATTTCAACTGTTGGTAAACTTATTCTGAGTTCAAGAATCTCTCTCTTTCTGGGAGATCTCATGAAACCACAAGATGCATTAAAAATTACCTAATAAGTGTGTGGTGGAAGCTCAAGTTTCAAGGTCCTCCTCCCTGCTTGATACCAAAAATTACTGAAGTACTAATGATATTCTGTTACTTTGTTTCTTGAGATGTTTTTAGCTATGGATTTAAATACATAGATAATTTGAAAAAACCCAAATTTATGGGACTATATTTTCCTACTGTACCTTCTTAACATTTCTTTGATAAAAAATACTGAAATGTACCCTTGTCCCCTCTTCCTGTCAGATGCCTGGGCCAAAAATTGCATGACCATCAATGCAGGCAGTATTTAACTCAGCTCAGATCAGTTTCTTTAATCTCAGTCCTCCTAGTTCTCCTGCTGATTCCTAGATACTACAGTGACAGATGCATTTGAAATGTGAACAGAAAAAGAAACACTGATGCTCTGCCATCAGAACTGCTGTGATAGTTCTGCCTACTGGGAAAGAGTCCTTTTTTCTTAACACTTCTTTGTATGTTGGGTCATGCCAGGCAAGCTGTCTCCTAATAGTTTTGCATTTGTTAGGTGTGAAAAAGGACAGCCCTAAAGTCCAGAAAAGCACTTCATACTTCCCTCAAATTCAGCACTGCTTCTAAACAACACACTTTTCAAGGCTCCTACACAATTAAAAGGACACTGAGGTTGTGACATACTAACAAAATACACAGTCAAAGCCCATTCACTAACTTCATGCTCTTTGAAGAAAGGGAGAACAAAGAACACGTTGCTACTGGAACGCTTCATTAGCAAAACTTCCCAAATTTACTACAATCCATCTGCAAAGTTCCTACCTGTTGCCTGATGCAGTAATGACTTAACAACTCTGGTAGCTTAAGGAACTGATAAAACCAAACATTAGGCTAGAAAGGCAAATGGGTGAGCAAACTGCAACCTATATTATTTCTGGGGTCAGAACTGATGATACAATGGTTTGTGCTGGCCTGTGGCTCTGAGATTGCTGCTGTAAAAAACAAGGGAAATAGGGTGGAGGGAAGTGTTTGTTCATACACCAGTTTAGAGGAGGCGCAGGGCTCATGGCAGTCTGGGCAGATCTGAATTTGGCTGTCCCAAAGACACTGATAGGACTCCTTGCCCCTGGAGAGGTGGAGCTGGTGGCACTGAATGTGGGAGAGGAGATTGCTGTGTTAGGGGTGTCCCAGTTACAGCGAGAGCAGGACCAGCTTTCAGGGCTCTGGCAATGCTCCCACAGGCAAATCTCCATTTGGCCGAGTCTGTTTTCCAATGTTGGCTCCACTCAACTCTCTGGTCAGTGAGGAGACAGAGAAGAGTCAGCTTGAATGGCTACAATGTGAAGTGCCCCCAAGCCAACCAAGGCTAAACCAGCACATTTATCAAATAAAGACACCACTTTGAATAACTAATGTTTGCCAGCTTCATACAGGCAAATAAACAGACTGAGTAAAGACAGGGAGCTGGTGATTTCCTTTTCATCTCATTCCAACACCCTGCAAGTGCTATACCTGGGACTCATACGAATTCTAACCTTCAAATATTGATGCAATCCTTTCCTTTCCAAAGCTCTTGGACATGTTGAAAGGTCTGGATAGATCTCTGGGAGTAAACTTCAAACACCTTGAAGCCTCTCCTTAGCTCGCATACTGAGAAATCAAAGCAAGGCAAATGGCCAGCCCTGTTAAAAAAAAACATCTAAAACCTCAAATCCAGAGTGATATACTTCATGTTTAGCTGGCCAAGATAAAAAAAACTGTGATCTACAAAATCTTGACTAATCCACTTTGGTATCTCAGCTGATGCAAATGCCAAAGTTTTACTGGTGAAATGATTTAGATACCTAAAATTCTGCCAACTCATCTACCCACTGCGCAAGTGTGGCCCTACATGGTGGAAAGGAATTGTTTTAACACACAGACATCACACCCTTTTGAGCTCCCTATTGACTCTCTTTGGTGGTCCATGGTCAGACTTGGTATGTGAACTTTTGTGAGTCTGATTACTTAACACATAATTCTCTTCATGTATCACAAGTCTTTCCAAATACCATGAGTTTGTGAGATTTGTGATGGATGTAAAGGCAATAAGGACAGTTTGGGATGAGTTTTGCTGTGATGTCCTTTCATATACATGGAGCAAGAACTTCTCGTATTAATATAAGCAGTATATTGAAATTCTCATTTTAGAATTTTTAAAATGAGCTCATAAACAGCCTAAAATACTGAGGATACAAAAAATACTTGAGAACGCAAGAAAGCTCCTGGAAGTCTTTGATGCTTTTGGGAGCCAAAAAAATGAATGCAAGAAAGTAAACTTCAAAATCGATTAATTTCTGAATATGAAAATAGCAAAGATGAAGATATTATATCTGATGGCTTGGTGCTACTTTTTGGTCATAAATATAAAGACTAGCTATGTTAAATGAATAAATATTCTGCAGCTTTTC